CACCCACCTCTTTTTTACAGCCATGTATACTCTATATCTGCTTTCTTTTTTTAATTCTTTACTTTTAACAACTATATCAGCCTGTCAGTGACAGCAAGAAATTGCAGCCACAAATGAAGATGAATACAACGGCACGTGAATCTTCTCCCCCGCGCTCACAGTCACAAGGGGAAATTACAAACACAAGCTCCATCCTAATAATGAGCTGTTACTGAAGTAATTACCTTTATTGATATCTGTGGGTGGCCAATAGTAATCAAAGCCACACATATAAATTTTGTTTCCTCCCAAAAAAACTCTTTGCAGCACTCTTGTTGGTCAAATTGTAGCACTGTAGCAGTGGAGGTCTGTAAATAACAGTGGGCACTGTTTAATAATAAAAATAAAATAATGCATTTTAAACTTTTCATATGAACATTGATCATGTTCATATTCTATGTGACGTTTTGTAGTGTCTCTGCAATATAATTTGAATCATTTGTTTGTCTATGTTTTTCCCGCCTGCTGTCTGGACTCTTCAAAACTGAAGACGACCTCTCCTTTATTGACGATCAGTCGTTCAATCATTTTGTTCTTATCAGCTTCCTTTTCTATAAATCAGTTGTTTCATGCCTTACAAAACAATTACCGCACCTTAAAATATTTTACGTTCCAACTACAAGTTTTCATAACTGGATATTAAAGTATTGTGTAACTGAACTGCATTCAAAAGTAGTTCCTAACATTTTACAAATCAATTTCTGAATCGTTTAGGATGCATTTAAGCCTTCTCCCTAAATTTTCTAGAGTCCTAGTCATATGGTGAATACAAACCATTTTTCTTTGTACTCTAAGTTTTATGAAACCAAATATTCTGTGAAGCCCGAACAGGTTTGATAGAACCTCATCTGTAATGTCAAACATGTGTTGTGGGTCTCTATGAACAACAGCAGTTCCAATAGACAGGGTTACAACTTTTTTTTTCTTCTGATGACTTGGAAAAAAGTCTTTTGTAAGATGCTCTTCAGTTAAAAAGTACACCCTACAGTAAAACGTTGTCATGCTTGCAATTCATCAGGAATATGATCCTACTTTGAAAAAACAGTTATGTAGTTCTTCACAGCAACAGACATCTGCATACTAGCTTAGGACCTTTTTTGTATGGTAAAATTTAGCATATTTTGCAGTTAAGTTTTGACATTTTAAGTTAATGAAGGCATTATTTATAGGAATAAAGATTTTTTGGGAGAACCCTTACTTTCCCTTATACATGAAAATGCTATTCAATTAAAAAAGGATAACAGAACCAGGGGCAGGAATCAGAGTCCAACAGAAAAACAGCAAACAAACCTGAACCAAAGAGACATCAGGGGTAAATCAAAACTAGAAGCCAGGGAGAGACGAGACAGGGCAGGCAGGTAACAGACAGGAAGCAAGACGGGATGTTTGACGAGGATCCAG